TTCTTTGCATTGGTTTAGAACATGTTCTTTTAGCTCATAGAAGTTTCTTATTACCCACCTTCTGAAGCCTGATTCTGTCAATTCATCACACCCATTCTCCATCCAGCCTTGTTCCCTTGCTGGTGAGGAGTTGTGATCCCTTGTAGGAGGAGAGGTGTTCTGTTTTTGGGTGTTTTCGTAATTTTTCTGCTGGTTTCTTCCCATCTTTGTGGATTTATCCACCTGTCATCTTTGTAGTTGTTGACTTTCAGATTGGGTCTCTGAGTGGACATCCAGTTTGTTGGTGATGAATTTATTTCTTTCTGTTTGTTAGTCATCCTTCTAACAGTCTGGCCCCTCTGCTGTAGGACTGCTAGGGTCCACTCCAGGCCCTGCTTGCCTGGGAATCAGCTGCAGCAGCTGCTGAACAATAAGGGTTGCTGCCAGTTTCTTCTTCTTCTATCTTTGTCCCAGAAGGATACCCATCAGATGTCAATGCGAGCTCTCCTTTAAGAGGTAACTCTTTGGATATACTGGGGTCAGGGAGCTGCTTGAGGAGACAATCTGTCCTTTATAGGTGCTGAGCTGTGAGCTCCGTTGTTCATTCAGAGCTGCTGGGCAGGTACATTTAAGTCTGCTGCAGCAGAACTTATAAACCGCCCCTTTTTTTAAAAAATATTTTTTTCCCAGGTGCTCTGTCTTGAGGAGTTAGGCCTTTGTTTATGAATTTCTGTTGTGTTACTGTCTTTTTTCAGGCCTGCCCTGCCCAGCGAGGAGGCAGCCTAGTCACTGTCTGCCTGCAGAGGCTTTGCTGAGCTGCTGTGGGCTCCACCCAGCTGCAGTGTGAACTTCCCTGCAGTCCTGTTTATATGGGTGTAGTTAGAACTGCCTCGGCAGTGCCAGCCCACCTCTGTAATGGTGGGCTGCCTCGGCAACGGCAGGCTGCCTCAGCAATGGCAAAGTACCTCCATAGTGGTGGACTGCCTGGGTAATGGCAGACGCCCCTCCTCCACAGAGCTGGACCGTCCCAGGTTCAGCTGTGCTTGCTGTGAAGGTCTCAATCCAGAGCGCTTCCGATTGCTATTCTTTTGTGTGGGTGGGACCAGCTGAGCCTGATCACCTGGCTCCCTGCCTTAGAGCCCTTTTTTTTCTTTTTTTAGTTGAACGGTTAACTCTGTCTACCAGGTGTTCCAGTCACCTGTTAAAAAGGCACCAGGATCTGTGTGATTTCCCGTGCAGTGACCCACTGCGCCTGTGCCGGCTGAAACAGCCACGATGAGTTTCGCGGTGCTTTTTTGTCCAGGAATCTCCTGGCCTGTCTCCCTGTTTCAGTCCCCTTTTTAATCAGTTGAATGGGCACCTCTGTCTGCCAGGAGCTCCAATCGCCAGCTAAAACGGTGCCTTGACCTGTGTATTTTGTATAGAGAACCGCTGGCAAAACAGCCACGCCAGTCAAACCAGCGGTGCTGGTGACCCATGGGGCTCCTCTGCCTGGGAATCTCCTGGTCTGTGGGCAATAAAAATGCATCTGGAAAAGCGGAGTCCACTCACCCTGTGTGCTTTCGCTGGGAGCTGCAATCCTGAGATGCTCCTAATCAGCCATCTTGGATCCCTCTTTTTGCGAATCTTATTCTATGGCCCACGTTGGAGTGCAGTGGCACGAATTTGGCTCACTGCAACTTCTGCCTCCCAGGTTCAAGCGATTCTCGTACCTCAGCCTCCCAAGTAGCTGGGATTACAGACACACCACAATGCCTGGCTAATTTTTATTTTTATTTTTATTTTTAGTAGAGATGGGGGTTTCACCATGTAGGCCAGGCTAGTCTCAAACTCCTGACCTCAAGTGATCCACCTGCCTCAGCCTCCCAAAGTGTTGGGATTGCAGGCGTGAGCCACTGCACCCAGCCTGTACATCATTAAAAAAAAATAGTTGTTTAATTTAAAACATAGTTTTGCACATGAAAAAAAAAATTTGCACAGATTAAACACAAAGCTCCAGGAGGGGGTGGTGGGAAGATCAGGTCATAGGAGGGTGGCTTAGGAGCCCCAAGCATTGGCCAGGGGTGATTTGGATTGGGTAAGAAATATCAACAGATAACGAAAAAGGGTAAAAGGATGGCAACTGATTGCCATCCCCTAGGGAGGGGCCTGTCGAGGGCTCACCCAGCCACCCACAGTGGGATCCTTGCAACCTGTTCCTGGCAGTGGTTCCCCTAAGTCCCTCTCGCTCGGTCGCGTCCCTCACCCCGGGCCCCGCCCCTTACCGGGCCCCACCCCTTACCGGGCCCCACCCTTCACGCGTGCCGCTTCGCACCGCCTCAGTCTCAGTCTACCAATTCGGCCTCCCGGGCAATTGAGCGCTCCATCCCCTTCTTCGGCGCCCTTGAGCGCCTTCCCAGCTCAGCCAGCCTCACCCTTTTCGGGGCGGTTGGGCCCCGCGCCTGTGGGGGCGGTGCCTGGAACTAGCTACCTAGCCAATGGGGCAGGGCTGCGCGGCTGGCTCAGGCCCCGACGGACCGCGGTGAATGACGTGGAGGCGGGTGGAAGCGGAAGGAGTCCTGGGGAAGAGGGGATGATGGTGGCGGCTGTCCTGCTGAGAGTGTTGGTGCTGCCATGGGAGCGGGTGGCCTAGTAAGCGGTGTGCGCCTCCAGGATCCTGCTCTCCATCTACGCGGACCACGTGGAGCGGGAGAAGGAGCAGGACCCCCAGCATCTGGCCCTCTGCAACCTAGGGCCCTGGGTGAAGTGCTCCGCGGTCCAGGTAGCCGGCGCTCAAGAGTGGTCTGGAGCGGCCTCTGGGGGCGAGGGCAGAGGCTGGGGGTGGGGTGCGCGAGGCAGGAGCTCGGGCCTGGGGGCGGCGCGGACGGGGCCGCGGGGGAATGGACGGTGTCCAGCCGGGCGGGGGGCGGCGGCTGGGCGCTCCTGCCCCAGGGGCGGCCCGAGCCCAGGCCGCGCGGCGACGGTGGCGGGGTCTGGAGGCAGCCAGGGAGGGATGAGGTGACAGAATGCAGCCGGGAGGCCGGAGCGGTCGGGGTGCGGTCGGGCTGGGGGGGTCCGCGCTGGGCTGGAGCGCGAGGGTCTGAGGAGGGTGGGTCGCGGCTGGCCTGACAGGTTTCCTGGTTCTCGGGAGGCGGGCTGGGGGTGTGGAACCCTGTCCGTTGCACCTGCGAGGCCAGCGGCCACCTCTTGTCCCAGCATCGCTGCAGCCGAGGCTTTGGGGCCGGCGCGGACTCAGGGTCCTAGCGTTTCCTAGTGTCTTCCTGGTGCTAGGACAGGTGTTTTCGTGGTCAGGCTTCTTTGTACTCCAGCGCTAGTGAGAATTTGCAGACTTACTGGCACGGTGACATTTGCGGGCAAACGCAAATTTGACCCTACTCTGGAAGAAGATACCGCCTCTTAACATTTCTGATTTCTTGGATTTCACCTCGTATATTTCAGTGTGCCAGGAGGGTGAAATGGTCTGAGTTTGGGTCTGAGGTTAAGCTTGTCCTTGGAGTAAAGGACAAGTATGTTATGTGTCTAGTGTTTTAGGCGTTGGGATGACTTAAACGTTGTTGCTTATTAGTGTAATAGGATACCCACAACAGATTAAAAACACACGCTTTGCTAAACTATGAGCGATTGGTTTGTGTTACTGATTATTTTAGTTTTTTTTTTTTTAATGTTGTAATTGGTTTGT